TTCCAAGGGTGTAAATCTTTACGGGAGTAGAAAGCCTCATCTTTCTCCCGCGGAGCGGCTGGTAGTTTCGAACTGCTGACCTTAAGGTTCGCAGCCCCATTACTGTTAAATTAGCAAACACTTTAAAAATGATTATTTCCAGTGTTGTAACAGTTGTGAAACTTTGTACCATATTTTGGAGTTCATAGAGTAAATTTGGTGTGTTGTTAAGTACCTTGTAGTCAGTTTTGACTTGTAGCCACCCTGTTATGAGCTGTAATTTTTTATTTTTTTATTTAAGGTTTTTTATTGTGGATTGAGTGAAAGTTTACAGGGCATATTATCAGTTTTACATTCAACAAATCATACACCTTGTTTCATTACATTGCTTATAATCCCCTCCATGTACTATCTATCAGTTAACAGTTATTTCTCTCTATCTGCTTTAGCTTTTTAAAAAACAAACAAGCAAAAAAACCCACTCAGGCATATATAATAAATTACATCTCCAAAGGGCACATTCTGCAAGTCTGCTCCTGGTCACCAGTTCTCAGTCCCTCTCTTCTTAGTCCATGAATCTAGAGTCCTCAGCCACTCCCCCTCTCCATGCCCCATCTCTGCCTCCATCTCTGGCGCTGCTGCTTCTCTGGATAAGGTCCAGTATTCTGCTTGTGCGTTCCTCTCTTGATGGTCCTAGGGTCCTCTGTTTCTGGACTGTAAGATTAACTACTCCCCTTTTTTTGTTACAAAGCTTCTACCTTTATAATTGTGACATTCATGATTAGTCATGATAACAATTATTCACTATTTAATCTTACATATCTTATCCCCATCTCTTTTCACCAGACCCATCTAGACAAGATGATAGCTATTCAGTGGGGACTATTTCTCTCCCCCCATACTCTTAAATTAAACTCCCTCTTGAAACCTTGTAAGCCAGTCACTTCGTGTCTTTATTGCCCCCTCATTTTAGATAGCCAATGTTTAAGTTGTCCATTCCTGTCTACCCTGTGTACAGAGAGGATAGCATTGATACTTGATTTGAAGACTCTTTCCCTCTCTGTTGGTATTTAGAGTAACTACCGGTCTAAGTATAGGTCAGGTTCATCATGAAGATGTATCTTCTGTCACT